TTCTGCATACAGTATGTGACACTGAGAGTGTTGCACGGCCAGATACGGCTCAGCTGACTCAGATAAGGAAATATGATACATTATGAAGTGATATGCCGCGGACTGTACTTAATGTTACTCTGATCCGGTTACTTATGTTGTGGCAGATATTTAAGTAAGCTTTCTTAACGCTAATGTTATAATAGTCAGATTGCTCTGAAGATGGGAGGTGATATTCTATTAATGTTCACGTTCACACAGTCGGTGATTTTTGCCGGCCGTCTTTCCTGCAACGGCAGCTTTTCTGTATTTCCTTTCTCTTGTAATATGACTTGATCGCTTTAAACTCCACACTGAGCTCTGATTGGTCAGCAGGCAGTGCTTTCACTGAGTTGAGCTCTTAGCCTGCAACCTAACCTGGTCCCGACCAGGGGGGTATACTACGAATCTAGTTCAACCTATCCTGGATATGTTTTGAGTTATCCGGTTGATTTAATCCAAAACAAAGCCGCTCTCGCTAAACTGTCCTACAACGCTGGCAATCAACTCGTTCGCTCAAGCCAGCCGTGTCCTATCTAGTTAGGTGCACGTTCACATAAAAGGGGTGGTATCTGGAGCATTCGACCAATCACAAACATGCAGAAGCGAACTGACAGCGCAGCGTCATACTTCCTGAATGAAAAGTCAACTATAATATTAGACATATGAAGAAGTTAAACTTTAAACATCCATGACTTAAACACTTTATCCAGGATAAAAGCCCCATAGCTGCACCTGCAAGGTGAATACAGCTGGTAAAAGAACAAGTGTTTGAATGCGTACATTAACAGGTTTATGATATCACTGCCCCGTCCAAGACACGAGTGGATCTGACTTTAATTACATTTGACTCGAGTGTTTCGTCAACTTAATGTGTTGCTTAAAATAATACTTCTGCATACAGTAGGCTATGTGACACTGTGAGTGTTGCACGGCCAGATACGGCTCGGCTGACTCAGATAAGGAAATATATGATACATTATGATGCATGTGATATGATGTGATATGAATGATAATGGGACACATCGACGTCTGCACTCACAGTGCCGCGGACTGTAGGCTACGTAATGTTACTTTGATCTGGTTACTTATGTTGTGGCAGATATGTAATTAAGCTTTCTTAACATAATAGTATAATGATAGTTATAATAGTCCGATTGCTCTGAACATGGGAGGTGATATTCTATTGATTTTCACGTTCACACAGTCGGTGATTTTGGCCGGCCGTCTTTCCTGCAACCGCAGTTTAAACTGTATTTCCTCCGCACACTGAGCTCTGATTGGTCAGCAGGCGTGGTGCTTTCGCTGAGTTGATCTCTTATCCTGGAACATATCCTGCTTCGGAGCACAGACTAGGTGCCAGGATAAGTCACCATGGAGATCTAGGCCGCTAAAAAGTGAACCAGCTTCGTAGTACCGGAAATCCCAGAAGTTATCTTGCTAAACGAAAATCCCGCTTCGTAGTAAACCCCCCAGGTTAGCCACTAAGCATAAGTTACCATGGAGATCTAGCCTGCTAAAAAGAGAACCAGCTTCGTAGTACCGGAATCCCGGAGTTTTCCCTGAAGTTAGCCGGTTTAGCGAAAATCCTGCTTCGTAGTACACCCCCCAGCTGTGTGCTGCAATTCACCAGCTACCCTGCAGTATACAAAGTCATTCAAACTAGCTGCACCTTTACCAGCTTTGATAACACTTGAATGATCGATAATTATAAAACATATATCAGGGTTGCCAACGCTCACGCATCTGGCGTGTGACACACGCTTTCACTCTCAATCTCACGCTCTCACGCTCTCAATCTCACGCTCTCACGCTGCCCGTTCGGCGATCGTTTTTGGTTGGTTATTTACAATGTCGAGTTGACAGCTGCTCAAGCTGTCGATCCGCTCCCTCCCCGCCCCCACCACTCTTAACAACGTTAACAGACAGCAGAGCAGTGGGAGCCGGTTGGTCAATCCCCGACCCGTATTGCGCATGCGCAGATCTAAGATCCAGTAGAAATGATAAAAAGTAAAAGTCTGCTGCTTATTGTTCCACTAGGCCAAAATAGAGTCAAAGAGTGTATGAGAGTGAGAGTGTGTTCATTAATATATTTGGCAGTTTGGAGTAAGTCTGTAGATTTGTTTGTGTGTGTGTGTTTCATGTATAGGCCTCTCACGATAATGAATTTAGTTGGATACATTTTCCCGGAAATTATTGCGATAAACGATAATATTGTCGGCACCGTTGTATGACCATTTTAGACCACTGACATCATGATAATATATAATAATAATTCAAGTAGGCCCTACATCCTTTCAAATTGCTAGTCACATCCTCATGTAAATGGAAATGTATCGAGGTGAGAGAAGTTATCGAGTTCATTTTTATTTATCGTACGATAAGTCAATGAATTGCTTATCGCGACAGGCACACAATAAAACAGTGGAAACAAACTTGTGTTTGGCTTTCATTAGTGAATGCAACTTTGTGCCTTTTATAGTCTGAGTCCAATATTGTGTATTTGTATATTGTGGTGACCACCTATTTAACCACTGGGACATAATTCAAACTTGGAACTACAGTTGCGGTTATTGTTCCCACACGGACATGTTATGGGTTACCTATAAATAGTGTGTGCCCTCTTGGCTCTCTCTCTTGTCGACCCGGGCTGCGACCCGACAACATGTCCTTTGCAGCTTGTGAATAAATTACTAATCTTGCACCTTCCTTGCACCGCCTCTGACTCCATATCTCTCGGCACTACACTGGTGACCCTGATAAGTCTTGAGAAGTTTCCGGGACGGAGCCGAACACGGCAAAAGGAACTCGAGTTCCTTTCTCGAAATGCCGAGGTTTGATTGGAGACGTCCGTGGCTGCCACCGACACGCGGACTGACGGCCCGTCTACACTACAGGCGTCAAAAAATGCTTTCAACGCTTCGCCCATTCCTTTGAATGGGGTGACGTAGGATATTTTCAAACTTCGCCGAACTGCATTGTGGGTAGCATGGCAAGGCGTTGCAAGCATCGCGAGCGTCTATCGGCGTCAAAAGTTGAACAATGTTCAACTTTTGAGGCTCGATGCTTGCTCGAAGCTGGCGTCAGCCAATCAAATCCCGTTTTTGCAATTCCCGCCAGTACAAGCGCTAGCCAATCAAACCGCGTGCAAGCTGGGAGAGCCAGACCGCAGTTCATTTCCTCATATTCCAAACGAGAAATTACGGTAGCAAATCACCCGGTTCTTTCCGACCAGAACTATTTACCGGGATACAAACCGGAGGAACCAGGCATGGAGGGAGGTGGCAGAGACAGTGGGCGGAACTGGTAGGTTTTCGCCTGTTTGGGGATTTTATATCCAGTTTACTTCGTTTTAACATTGCTATTGCTTTGTATGTCGGGGGCGGGAGATTCATGTGATTGGTTGTTGGTCGCGTTGCTCGCAAAAAATCGCCAAGCTTCAGACACGCCCAGCTTCAAGCTTTTTCGATGCCTGTAGTGTAGACGGGCCGTGAGGCTCGGTGCGCGCTCCGCAGAAGGCTGGAGACGTTGCTCGTCGTTCCCGCATCGGCTTTCTATCCAACGGGGGGACGATGCACGACCTGCTGGGTCGACCAGCAACCCCATTGCTACCTCGTGGGTTTGTTCTTCGGGGCGTGCGGCTGCACGTCCCGGCAGCTAACCACGTGGGGCTAACGACGGCTGGCAGCTACCCATGGCTGCCAGCTAGCGGCTAACCACGTGGGGCTAACGATGGATAGTGCTAACGGCTATCGGCCCTTTTGAGGTTTTTTTCTGGTGCCGGAGAGGAGGTTCGACCAGCCGGTTGACCTCATGTGGACACTCTCACCTTTTTCACCACCTCGACGGCGGTTCCAGACGCCACTCACGTTTTCATCGACGCCTGGGTGGTGCACTCCTGGACCCCGTCTCGCCTCGACGGTTTTGGACGTCGCCCATGCTGCCATCGGCCCGTGGGTGGCGCGCTCCGGAGTCTGTCTGGCCTCTCCTGCCTTCCGGGGATATCCAGATGCCACTCACGTCTGCCTGCGGCCGGGTTCCTCTCCTGCTTCCCGGGGGTACCTCGACGCCTGCCGAGGACTTCGTGCCCGCCGCCGTTGCATTTCTGCCTGCGGCCGGGTTGCGCTCCTTCCTCCTGGGGGGGACTGCTCCTCTCTTCCGGGGATACCTCGACGCCTGCCGAGGACTTCGTGCCCGCCGCGGTTGTGCGTCTGCCTGCGGACAGGTTGCGCTCTTTCCTGCTGGGTTCTCCGCGACACCTACTGCGGCCCCCTGCCCTCTCCTGCGGCCCCACCCTCCTCGGCCCTTGTGGTGCTTCCTCCACGGACGTGGGGATATATTTTTTTGCCATGTTTGAATTCTGGGGGGGCTTGTGTGGTGACCACCTATTTAACCACTGGGACATCATTCAAACTTGGAACTACAGTTGCGGTTATTGTTCCCACACGGACATGTTATGGGTTACCTATACATAGTGTGTGCCCTCTTGGCTCTCTCTCTTGGCGACCCGACAACATGTCCTTTGCAGCTTGTGAATAAATTACTAATCTTGCACCTTCCTTGCACCGACTCTGACTCCATATCTCTCGGCACTACAATATATTGTATATATATCCTATATATATATGCTAAGGTCCCGCTGCTGACACGATGGCAGTCATTTAGTGCGCATATGTGTAATTAAACCCATGATATCAAAATCTCACTCCAGCCAGGTACCCAAAGTTGGCAACCCTGATATATATTATTCTGAAATGGGCCAATCTGCACAATGACTATTTTTACTTTTGGTACTTCTACTTGAGTAACATTTTGAATGCAGGACTTTTACTTGTAACAGAGTATTCCTACACTCTGGTTGATGATCCAAATTAATAGCAGTGCATGGTTTAATTCCTGTGATGCTAAGTTAATATTAGCAGCGTCTTAAAGTACGTAACCAACGCAGGTAACGTAAAGAAATAAACTTAACTTAACGTTACCTTCTCGGTGTTGACAGTCGATGTTCTCAAAACAGAGATGCACTAGTTGGCTCTTTGCCGTTATATTTTGACTGTGTGTTATGCTAAAACCATTCAAAACAGGTCCAAAAGTCATCCTAATGTCAGTAAACAGTGAAACAGGAAGCTAAGGCTCTTTCACAATAAAAGCCTCACAACAGCTGATAGGACAGATGGCTTTATTGTATGAAGCACAGACAGGATGTGTGGTTTGACTTCCTTAAACTTACAAAAAAAACAGTTTATATATTTTAAGAGTTTAAGCTTATTTGTCTTGCCACACTTATAAAGGCATCACTGCGCATCCTTAACAAGTAGGTGACATTATAAACTTACCTACCTACACTGGAACACATTTGACTTTTGATTATTTTATATAGACATAATTGAATGAGATGATATGATATTTAGGAAAGCTTTTAAAATCACATAATTTTTGGCTGCAGTATGAACCAAGACACAATATAATTTAAGTCACGTAGCCTACAAACAAGTCCAGAGTCCATCCTGCCTTATCTAAGTACAAGTGATACTCAGATGTTAGCATTATTCTGCCATCTTGTGAAAAAAGTGCCTTATGACACGCTCCTGGGGGATCGTTACTGTCCCTCTGTGCCAACATCCATCATCCAAAAGCTTTTAAAAAACTAACCAATGAATTGCAGCAATCTTTCCTAGTTTAAAGGACATTTCTATCATTCATCCTTCTGTGAATAATCATCTAAATGTGTGCTATTGTGAGAAGAAAATCTACTTGTTTGATTAGCATTACCTGAAAACTACCTAAGCTGTTGCTAAGCAGTTAATGAACACCGCACAATATATTCATATCGCGATTTTAATGAATAGTGTCTTCAATTGGTCTTTCTTTCTGGGTTTCCTTGCGTCTCTCCATGCTTCCCTAGTGGGAGGGACTAGTCGCAGGGAAACGACGCAAGTGAGGGAAGCAAGGATTTCATTTAACCGACCTGAGACGGGGCCAGTGATGATTTTGAAGTGTCCAATTCGTTAGGAACATCTAGAAAAAAACACAAAATGACTGCAGTGTATTGGGTGATAGCTAATGTGCCATCAAAATACAGGTCCACACTCCACTCCATTCAGCTTGCTCTTTTGTGTAAAGCCACTGATGTAAAAACATATGGCTATGCTAAAATCCTCCATCCTCTCATCCAAGATCTGCTTTATTTCGAGCAAGACGGTGTTTATATTGAGAAGTTGGGAGCATGTGTCAAAGGCACAGTGTTTTATGTGGCTGCTGATAACTTGGCTGCTCATTCACTGGCAGGATTCTTCGAGAGCTTTGCAGTGGACAGGTCCTGCAGGGCGACGAGGAGCCAGATCCAAGACAAGGAAGTAACTTCAGGCAACTTTGAACTCCGAAATAAAGACACTCACAACCGGCAAGTGCAGGAGGTAAAGCAGGATCCCACTATGGCTAGAAAGTATGGTGTGAAACGAGGATGTGTATTGACAGACAGTCTGAAGCACTTTCATGTTGTTCGCGGTTACCCCCCTGACATCCTGCATGATCTTTTTGAAGGCATTGTTCCTGTTGAGTTATCGCTCTGTCTTTCAGACCTGATTTCTAAGAAATATTTCACCTTAGAAACACTGAACCTTACAATCAAATCCTTTGCATTTGCTTTTAATGATAAAACTGACCAGCCACAGCCTATTGCACATGGCTTCTCTACCAAAGGGAGGGACCATAGGTGGAAATGGCCATGAGAACTGGGCTCTAATCAGACTGCTCCCACTTCTCATTGGTCATAAAGTACCTGAAGGGGACAATGCATGGAACATTTTGATGCTCCTTAAAGACATTGTTGAGTTGGCAGTAGCAACAAGGCACACTGAAGAGTCAATACACTTCCTTGATTGCAAAGTGTCAGAACACAGAGAACTGTTGCAAACTACATTCCCTGATTTGAGATTACGTCCAAAACACCACTTCATTGAGCATTATCCTCAGCTGATTAAGGCATTCGGTCCGCTTTCAGATGTCTGGACAATGCGTTTCGAGGGAAAGCACAAATTCTTTAAACGGGTCATTAGAAATGCACACAACTTCAGAAATGTTGCTCTTACACTGGCTGTAAAGCATCAAAAGATGATGGCTTACTATTTGGACACAAGTTCATTTTTCAAGCCCTCAGTTGAAATGGACAAGGTCACTACGGCACCAATCACATCTTACCCTGAGAATGTCCAACACGTTTTCTGCCAGAGAATTCCTCAGCTTTCAACAGTTCTTGTTGCATCATCAGTTTTTGTCGATGGAATAAGATATTGTGCCGATATGATACTCTCTGTTGGTTCATGCTCAGGTCTCCCTGAATTTAAGCAAATCAAACAGATTGTGGCAATCAACACATAGATCCTGTTTGTCTGCAAAACGATGACTGCATAGTACCATGAGCATTTCAGATCTTTCGAACTCTGTGACAGCCCTAACCCCTCTCTGTGTGTGGTGCAACTAAAAGAGCTGAATGATGTTTTCCCTCTTCCAGCATACAGATTTGGAGACAATTTAATAGTGACACTCAAGAGTTATATTCTGTGCTAAAAGTTACAAGTGTGATTGCTGCAATCAAGCTGAGCAACATGGCACCCACTGGAGTGTAAATATAAGCCTGAATGGCCATATTTTGCAACTTTCTTTCATGGCAACCAACTGTTCTTGAGGACATGCATATTACTAATGAGCTAATCATTATGTTTATTCCAAAGATGACGGCACACCAGAAAATGACCTTGAGGGTCATTCTCACGGAGGAGGATATAAGAAAGGTCATCCTGAATACGAGGCCTGCTACAGTGGAGGATTTGATGAGCCAGATTAAAGAATCACTGGGACTACATTACAACTGCTGTCTCCAATTCAAAGATCCTGAATTCAATTATGAACTATGGAATCTGACAGATATGGAAGAACTTCCAGAAAAACCAACAATCAAAGTCATCCCTTTACTTGAGCTGGTACCCGTCTCAACATCTGATGAAATCTTGAGAGACACAACAAGTACAGCAGACACAGATATCCTCTCAACGTCATCTCAGGAGAGACGGAAACAGTGGCCAGAATTATTTGATATCCCACATTTTTCTGTTGATGTAGAGCAGTGGTTCTCAAAGTGGGGGGCGCTGAGGCATGACAGGGGGGGCGCGAGATTTTTTAATTCAAATCAAATAAAAAAAGATTTAAAAAATCAACTCAATTGTTCAACTCATCCACACACAGCCATGTCACTTTCTTAAAAGCATAGATAAGTACATTTACAAATCTAAGGCAACAAATTAAGCATGTCTTTCTCTCAGTGCTTCAACTATCATCAAATCAAACATGACACGTGTGTTTATCTATCATATGATGATATTTCTGTCTATAATCTGGCTTTAGTCTGCGGAGCATCACAGCTCAGGTGAGTCCTGAGAAACTCCTGGATCTTTCTCCACAGGTGGACTTCAGCTGCTGCGTGGGACGTTGCTTCCCCCCCCCACAGGACCGGCTTGCCTGCAACCCCATGGACACTGGAGGGGCAGTAGGGCCCGTACGGAGGCTCCAGGTAATGTCCCGCTCCGGGGTAACACACACTCTCAAAGTTGTCCTTCCCGTGTCGCTGCAGTCGCTCCACCATGTTCTCCATGTAGGCCTTGCTGTCCCAGTTGAGGTCGTCCTCCGAAGCGACGAAGAGGAAGCGTCCCTCGGCTCGTTCGATGGGGATCAGGGTGGCTTTGTTCTCCTCTGCCAGCGGATTTTGCATCACATATTTGCAGTTAAAGGCCCCTGAGTCTGTGGGAATCATCCTGCTCAGGTCAAACATTAACGCGGGGAGGATCTGGCTCTTATTGTAGTAGAGGGGTAACATGGTGTTGGCAGAGCAGCCATTGATCCACACCGTGACTCCAACATCTGGCAGGTTAGAGGCTATTGATAGGGCAAGATCTCCACTTTTAGAAATGGATATTACACCGACTGCTTTACTGCCAACCTGTGGACAAACAAGCAAACTGTGAGCTGCTTTCTTTGGCTTTAAGTGAAGCTAATGCAGTAGAATCTGGTTTGGCTTATAGATAGAAAATGTAACTGCAGGATTCTTGCTTTTGAGTTTGTATCCTCGTGGTTGAATGCACTTTAAGTCACTTTGGATAAAAGCTTTTCAGCATTTATTATGATGCCCATAAGGTTAGCTATTTTGTAAGTAATCATACATGGGACTTTTGCCACTGAGCAAAGAATCTAACATCTTTGCAACTTCAGCACCTTCAGTGAAGATTTTCAAAAATGTGGCCTGTACTCACCTTATCTTGTTTCTTTAAAAACGCTATTGCTTCTTCAAAATAATCCAGATGGACCTCTTTGATGTTCTTCGCCATGTCATCGTAGCCGTACAGCGCTACAGTCAGAACCACAAATCCCCAGCTGGCCAGCAGAGAGGCCCTTTTTGTTAAGAATGTCACGAGGCTCAGGACCCAAATGCACAACACCAGAAACAGATTAGAATTAACAAGGTCTTTTAATTAAGGTCAAATACAAAACGCTCACTTGGAGGATCAAAACTCTAAACCAAAAAAAACATCTACATGACTATCAAAAATATACTTCACACGATCAAGGGATGACTGGCAGGCTTGACGAGACAAGACGAACTGACACAAGACAAAGGGAGACGCAGACTATATATACACACTAGGTAAGGGGACACAGGTGGCAACAATTAAGGGAGGGGCTGACAATCACACTGGTGGGAAAAACACACCAGGGCAGGAATGCTCTGAAACGAGAGGGAAAGGTTACTACAAAATAAAACAGGAAATCACAAGACAAGGCAAAAGACAAAAGGACTGAACTAAATAAATTAACTTAACACAACTGTCTAGACACCACAGTACCCCCCTCCTTTACGGACGGCTCCGGACGGCCCAGCGAGTTCAGGATGGCTTTTGTAAAAATCCTTTATCAGGTTCTGGTCCACGATGAAGCTAGACGGGATCCATTCCCGCTCTTCCGGTCCATAACCCTCCCAGTCCACTAAAAACTGCTGAACCCTTCCTCGTTTTCTGACCTTCAGCAGACGCTTGACAGTGTAGACCA